AGTATATATAGTAGTAATAACTAAAAAGAAACATATATATATATATATATATATATATATATACTACACACACACACACACACACACACAAACAATTTTTTTTTATCCTGTTGCAAGTTATCTAATCCCAATTCAGCATTACTAAATGCTGCTATAGTCTAAGCTGTACAAGCAAAACACTTGTATTTTCAGGATGGCCTTACCTTTAAAGTGATAACTGCACTGGATAGAGAATGTCTTATAATATTTTCTATATAGGATTATATATATTTTAAATTATACATTTTGCTTCTGTATTGTTTTTCCATATTTCATGTTCTGTAATGTGGAAACATTTATTTCTCTGACTTTTCTGGTTTATGACAACCCTGATTTAAATTCTACTCTTTTGATATGAATGTGTTAGCTTTTACAAAGATTGCTTACCATTGGGAATGAAATTTTTCTGGTGATTTCTGAATAATCTGCATTTCTCTCTGACCACTGAGATTGTCCTGCAGCAAAGTGAGCACACACAAAACAGATGGATGTACTATGAAAAAGCATACGAATTGCAACAGCTCCTTTGTTACCAGTGGCTCCTCCTAGACCCGTCTTTACTAAGTCTACAGCTACATCTCTGAAACAAATCAAAATCCAGCATTGAACAAAAGATTGTACTGCACATTCTCATTTGTAGCAAAAAGACTAAATACTGGTTCTTAATTGATCTAATTTTAATTTTAAATGTTTTTTTTTAACTTATATTATGATATTACTGAAATTCTCAATAACAAGAAAAAAAAGTTTCATTTGAATACGTCTAAACGTTAATGTATAATACATAAAATAGCCTAAGCTAAACATTAATTCACCAAATATGCATAGACATTTTTCAGTATACTTTTAAGATATAAATACCAGTGAAGGAAAAAATCCAAGCTCTTACATGTTAAAAATTAGTAAGACTTAAACTTTTTAAACTCACATTTATATATCATAATACTAGATAAAATGAAAATAAACAAAAACATGAGAAAATTCCCAAACTCTTAAATAACAATACAATAGGAAGCTTGTTTGTTTATGACAAAAATACTAAAGCTATCTATTGCCATCCCTAATTTTGGACTGCTAACCACAGGGAGGTAACTGGCCAGCAGCATCAACTGCAAACTCTTCAGCTACTCTTTATTATTGAATAGTGGGATTGACCATCACATTATAATGACCACATGGCTAAAACAGTGAGCTTGTTCATTGGTTTTTCAATCCCAGCCAACAGATTGTGAGCTGAGCATCCTAACCACCAGGCCATGTCAGGCTACAATTAGATGTAAAAAATAGAGGTTGAATGCCAGAAGGAAACCAAAAAAACATAAGAGAACTCATAAGAGCAAAGTTTTCTGCTTCATAGTTCTAGATACTTCAAAATACTGAACAAAATAACAGATATATGTATTTACTGCACATTTTCTTTGTTAAAGTTTCCAGGAACTCAAAGACTGTTAACACATATAATTATTTTAACTTCAAAGTGTTTGTAATGCACTTATTCATGGATAATAATATTTATTTCTCTGGTATAAACAATTGACTGAGGTGAATGTGTTGGTAAAACAAAATGTATTATTATAAAGAATTAATGCAAAGTTCATAATCAAGTGTTACAGTAATGCATTTCAACTTTATTTCATGTTACTAATGAAATATAATGTTTATCTAACTATCTCTTATTTCATATATTATATAAACTAAAATGACAGTTTTTCACCAAATTCATAAGTAACACACAAACCAATTATTATTGTCATTCATCTTATTGCTTGATCCTCATGACGTTTTTAAAATACACTGTTTTATTCATTACTCATATCTTTCAGTAATTATTTTTCCCAAGTTTGGTTGATAGGCATCTTGTTGCAATGTAAGGCTAGGATTGCTCTTGAAAATACAATAATACTAGCTTAATCAAGAATGTTACAGACTCTTCGGGAGGAACTTACTAGGCTATGTAAGTGAAAATAATTCAGAGGATGATTTAAAAAAAAAAAAGAATTCAAAATGAATAGTCATCAGGAAAAATTCAATACAGTTAGTACACAGATAGTGAAATGGGCTGCCATTTTAACCTTTTCCATGTTGTGCCATTGAGCCTATGGTATGATATCCATTTGTACAAGTACACTGTTTCACAGAGTCAATGGTATATACTTACCTTCTTGTACAAGTTAATTTATCGTGGCTACACATATATAATGCATCCCAGGGATCCTCAAATTTCTCTAGTGTGTTATATTGTATGTTGTGTAGATCACATGATAATCATGTAACTACTATGGATCTTCAGATGTGCTTTCACAGAAGTTTTCATATAAATCGTGAAGCATCTTTGACATTCACTGCTAACTTCTGCAACTGTACGTCATTGTTTAGCTATGATAAATATTAAAAAAAAAACAGTATCAACTATACTTTCCTGTGTACAAGGTTTCCCTCCATATCATTCCATAAACAATCAAAGCAGTGAATGTCAGAGAATCTCCAAAATCTCTCCTACATATGTTTAGAATTATGGATGCCTGTAAAGTGTGTGCTGCAGGTACATATATCAAGTTGGATAAATTACACAACTGAAGACAGTAAATCTAAACTTACAATGCAAGCAATTTTTGAGTGCTACTAAAAGGTGAATAAAAACATGATATCACAGAAGAAACATGAAATCATAACAATATGACCAGAAACAAATTTCCACACAGTGAAGGAGTTAATACATATTACAATCCTAGGGGATCATGTAAAGAAAACAATAGGAATCATGATTATTTGCAGAAAACTACCTTTTATTAAATGGAAATATTTAATCTTTTCCCTGTGTTGTGGCATGAGATCTGTTTGTATGTGTCTACATATTTAACAACAACCAAATCTTCTTACAGTGTATTATTTTAATATACATATTCTATCTATAGTACATTATTACACACATCATCAGAGAGATGACTGGCTCTCAAATCTACAATCTTCACTAACTACAACCAACATTAAGAAAGAGATAGCTAACTGAATTAACTTACATCAGACTAAACTTCTTATCTTACCTAATATAAGGAGTAAGCTGAGATCTTACAAATACAAACAAGCAAACCCCCACCAACTGGCCAGAGGTAAGAATGACATATTTCTGGTCACGACAAATGGTCTTCTGCAATTCGACAAGCCATTCCCTTTGATTGGCTGTGCTGTAAAAAAAAAAAAAGTCTAACTATAAACATTCACTCATGTGTGAATATAGGTACTAATATGTCTATTATTAATATTAAAATTACTCTAAAACTGGCCACATTTTCTATATGGTTTGAACAAACAAACTAGGGATTCTAAGAATTGTCCTTGGTGTACATGCACACAGAACACATAGGTTGCCTCAAAATAATGGTATGTTAAAAAATGTTATTTTAATTTCAACTTGTTGTAAAATTCTAAACACTACAGGGTGAAATTATATTTTTTACAAGATTTTAAACTATTTTTTTACAATTTGTGAAAAGATAATTTTTGGATTACATTTTGTATTTTTTTTTTTATTTGGTTTTAAACTAATATATTTTACAGTTTGTAAAAACAATAATATGTGGTTTACAGTTTCATCCATGTTACTATAGGACAAACATTAGTAATATGACATAATAAATTTTAATAAACACTGTAGATTCAAAATGTTAATCTACTGTGTTATTCTTTGAAGTTTCAATACTGAGTCAGTTAATATTTAAATCTCAAGCAATATTAATTGTATGATACCCACTGAAAGATCAAGAAAACATCAACATAAGTGACTGTGACACCAGTGTTTTTCTGTTTCTTATAGGATCAACTTCTACAGAAAACAATTACAACAACAACAAAAAAAACATTCACCTAGCTCCCATGATATTGGATGCATTCAGGTCAACTATTTCTTGAAATCCAATAGCAAAAATATCAACAGGGGTGTCATCTTCTTCCGCTGCAAAATCCACTAAAGCTGGAGAATTAAAAAACTTAATCAACTGGTAAACTTTGTAATTGAATTCTACCAGAACACTGTCAAGAGCCAAAACTAACAAATAAACAAGGTGAGGGATAAGCAACTTTTTAAGATTTTTCACACAGGTGTTTGTTTCATGTTTTTCAAGTTTATTATCAGCAATCACATTGACAAATAAATCAAAGCTGTATAGTGTATTTGACAATTATATATCTAAAGTCACATGTAATAATTTGAAAGTGAATCCCATTTAATATGAAATCAAATACTAAATGTGTACCATGAGAATCAACAAACTTCTTCACCTGTAAAATCTTAGGTCATTCTAAGACATAAACGAGCCACAACCTGTTTATATCTTGTAATAAGTCTTTTTAAAATAATTACAGTTAAACTAGCCACAACCTGTTTATATCTTGTAATAAGTCTTGTTAAAATAATTACAGTTAAACTAGCCACAACCTGTTTATATCTTGTAATAAGTCTTGTTAAAATAATTACAGTTAAACTAGCCACAACCTGTTTATATCTTGTAATAAGTCTTGTTAGAATAATTACAGTTAAACTAGCCACAACCTGTTTATATCTTGTAATAAGTCTTGTTAAAATAATTACAGTTAAACTAGCCACAACCTGTTTATATCTTGTAATAAGTCTTGTTAAAATAATTACAGTTAAACTAGCCACAACCTGTTTTTGTCTTGTAATAAGTCTTGTTAAAATAATTACACAGTTTAAAATTTTCTGTGAATATTTGATCAGTGTCTAATCTTAGCAATGACAAACTTTACTACAGACTGTGTATTGCATACAAAACCAAAATAATAAGAATAATCATAAAACTTACACACATAAATAAATGCTTAAAAAACTTGTTCTTACTGTTACAAGTACTCTTTTAACTTTATAGCACTGTTGTTGCATTTTGGAAAAAATGGTGAAATCACAAAGGTTTACCATTTGCTTTTTTTAATTTTCGATTATCCAAAAGCCATTCACTAAGAGGCTGGTGTTTAAAGACAACACTGGTAAAATGCTTTCCTCCATTCACATTCCAAGTTGCCACAGCAATTCTTACTTTTTGTGGATGAGCATATTCCAGGTGGCGACTGCACATGGTTCGAAGAATGTTTGTTGGGACTGAAATAAACAGCAGAATGTAAAAAACGCTTCTTACATTGCTTACAACCTAAAAACTAAAATCCAAACAATACACATTTAAATAGAAAATAAAATAATTCTACTATAACATACTTATGTGCAAAATTAACTCATCTGCTAAATCATAACAACATGTATCTACCACCTACCTGCTCATAATGGCAACTTTAGAATTCCCTCTGCGTTTTCTCTATTTACCGAAACTGTTTGCACTGACCCACTGCATAACGCAACCAGCAATCACCCCAAATCAGCTTGCAATCATGATTTATCTCTCTATGACAACTAATTTGTGTTGCACGGGAAGTAACTTAAACTTTTACAGTCTTGTATGCAAAAGAGATCAAGTTAAATCACGACAACACCATATCTGAAAGTCATTTTTCAATTTGCTTTAAAAAGGTACAGATGCACATGGGTGTTGGAGTAATGGCAACATCAAAAAGAAAAGCTTTAATGCCTGAAGGGTGAGTTAAAGCTATAGCATAAGCCACCACATGTTAAGTGCATCCATAGAAATTTAGACATTAGACTTACTACTGTTAAAATTACCTAATCCATACATATAGGTATTAGGCCTAACATAAATACAAGCTTTACACTTAAATTGTAAGTGTTTATGATCTTCTTCAGTAAATAAAATATATAAAAATGAAAGCAGAATTATGCTTAAAGTACATGTTTGTGATAGATCTATTCCTAGTACAATGTAATACAGTAAAATTCAACAAACTTTAAGCATGTATTTAACATCAACCAAGTCTTTATACAGTGCATTCTTTTAATATACATATGCCTATCTATAGTACATTATTGCAGAAATGGGAAAGTACAGTAAGATAACTGGCTCTTAATTGCTGAAACAGGTCTCCATCTTGGATGCCATCTACTGGATCAAGAAGGCTTGGAATGGGATAACACCAGATGGTGGTGAAATGCTTCAGAGATGCAGGATTCAGCAACACTTCATCAATTCCAAATGGTTTAGACAATCTAAATATCAAAGATAGTGAGACAAATGAAGATGCTGCTGATGGCTTTTTCTGCATATCTCATGACATCTTTGGAGTGGACTTGTTTTAACTCTGTGACATTGACAGACAGTTTTTTTTTTACATCTAATGAGGAATGAAGAGACTGGGATAAGAATGCCAGGGAGTTGGTACAGGATGACAAGAGTATGATAATTTCAATAATCATGAAGATGCAGTTGTCAAGACTAACTTAGAACAAGTATAGTAAGTAACATTGTTTGCTGCCCTGCAGTATGAAAATGCTTCTACACTGAACTATACAATGGTGTTGGTAAGTAACATTCTACACATTGCACCAACATCACAAAAAAGCGATTCCTTGAATGACTTAGTTTTGTAATGAACATTAGAATTGTTAATAGGAATATTGATTATTTTGATATTTATTTCTATGTTTCTAGTTTTTGGTGTTTAAACAATTTCATGAAAAAATTATCATCACACAAAAATGTCAAGATGATCAAGATGGTAGACCTTTACATAAAGGCTACCTTAGCTTCTACCCCAAGTTGTTGTTTTTAAATAGGTTTGTATTTCAGTCAAAGAAAAAATTACAACAGTTACAAAAGCAAAGGTAACAATGGCAAAAGAATAATCTACACACATTAAAAAAATTTCCATAATTTAAATTCCTAAATTTTAATTCCTATATAAAATTATTCCTAATTTCACACACAGTTGGAAAATTACGTAAATCAACAAACACGCCTAAAATGTATTAATAAAATTTTATGAATATTTAAAACTTACAGCTTCTTTTTTCTCCTTTTGTTTACATTTTGCTGCTTAAAACACAGTTTTAATTCAAATTCAAAGTTCATTGTATCAAAACAGAAATATTTATTTTAGATACTGGTCAAATAGTTGGGGTTAGATACATTATCTCCAATATTGCCAGTCATTCTGGATTTGCTTTAGTTCTTATTCTCAATATTAAATAATGTTTTACAAGTTAATATGGAGTACCCTGGAACTTTTGGTATTTAAAGAAGCATGCACTTTTTTGCTGAATAGAATTTTATGCACATTGACTAATATGTAAAAATCACTACAAGACTTTTACAGAAATCAATGCACTGTCTTCACTAAACTTTCATTAAACTTTGAAAAAAAAGCATTCTAGAATGACTAATTACTTTCAATATTTTCTGCTTCAACAACCAATATAATTTTTGCTTCATATTTAATTGATATTGTGATATGCTGCGACTGCAATGAAAATGACAAAATCATCCACATTATAAAAAACAACCTCATAACTTCAAGAAACATTTGTTGAAATACCAAAAGTTATTCATTACAGTTAAACAGATGTATTAAGAGCTCAACAAACCCAACGAATCTACACAGCAAGACATTAGATATTAACCCTTTTTTTTTGTGGCTTGTGCAAGTCTGTTTACCAGCCCATGTACGAAGATTCGCAAATTTTTGCAGCGAGCCATTCAAAATGTTGCGCACAAAATGCTTGCATCATATGATGTCAATCAAAGTTGCCTACACTAACATCATATGATGCCAACTGCAGCTAAAGGATTAAAGGTAATGTTTTATACAGTTTTTCTTTTCTTAGAATCTATTTACATCATCTATCTAAACACAAACTGTGTTAAAAGTTGGCAAAAAATAGTATTCCAAACATATATATTTTCGAAAAAGCATAATCTTTAACCCCTGAATTTCAAAACTTACCATGCAACACATGTGTAGGAAGCAGGGCCCTGGTACGATCAGCAAGCTCAGTATTTAAAGCACTTCCCAAAAGTAGCACATCAATAGCTTCTTGCTTACTGTTGTCTAAGAGATTGCTTTGTATTGTACGCACTACAGAGCGGGAACCATCCTTCAACTGAGTATAAAAAATCAACTTGCTGAATGAGAAAAAGTAGATGGTTTTTGTGCAGTTTATTTTTTTTAGTGAAATGGATTTGAATCCATGAAGTGTAGAAATTTTAAATTCAATTCTCTCTATGTATATTTTCACAATGAATTAAAAAAATTAACGTGAAAAACAAGTTAAATGTGTCATCATTCTTTAAAAATCATAATTAAGGCATATTTTAGAAAAACATAACTAATGGTTATATATGTCTAAAATCCATACCTGCCTGATGTAAAATTAAGAAACATATATGTGTACCTCATGTAGGATTAAGTTTTAATTATAACTTTTATTTTTTCATAGCTTATTTTATAATTAACTGCAAGAAAATCACTACTGAACCAATAATGATATAAAATAACAACAATACCCTTAGAATTTTAAATGCTTCTCAAGGTTACTTGCACTTTATAGGAATATTATCCTTGGAACTAGTTCTTCCATTGCTGATCATACTCAATCCAGTGGCCAGACTATACAATGTAATCTGGGGTTTCTGTGATTCAAGTTTCTTTGGCTATCTTTCTCATGAAACATGATTTTGTTAACCTTCACTAATTTTCAAAGTTACTATATTGTTAATGATACCAGGAGATACGCCCACTTTCATCACAATGGCTTTTCAGGTTGGAGGGACATCTCTTGTAACCACAGCCTGCACTTTGCAGCTGAGAGCAATGTTACAGATTGACTTAAGTGTCGTTTCATAGCCCATTAGTGTCCCAAAATTTCTGCAGGGCAAGTTTTTCCAATTTATAGGGAATACCAAACATGAACATTTAAGAATCATTCTATATGAATGTCCTTCCTTGAAAATAGCTGTGACAAATTCCTCTTAAGTTATCCTGGTGATACTGCATTGCTAAATGGTTGGGAATTCACTGTGAACCAAATACATAACAACTAAAACATATAATCTGTAGCACCACAGCTTGTACCTGCAGTGGTGTACCATTGAATCAGCATATACAAATCTTATGAAGTTTAATTAGCCTTCAGTGTTATTACTTTTCTGCAGATTTAAATTTTTTTTTTGTTAATATGTTGAAGATTATTGAAAGTCATGTTTTAAATGTTTCCTTCACATGAACTTGAAAAAGCATTCATGAGGTCCAACATACTAAAATATTCCTTCACTTAAGAAATTTTATTTCATGAACAACTCAGAACTAGCAAATTAACAAGTATGAACAAACTTATGTTAAATGTTACTCAAATTACTGTATTCACAAAGGCAAACAGAACAGTGAGAACAAATTGATCTTGTCAACCTTAAAAACTTGGTAAAATAAACATGTTTTATCATACGTCAAATGTGGCTTCTTAACAGAGTTATAAATAACAAAGAAATTTAAGAATTTCATTAAGACAAGTATTTTAAATTTTACTGTTTTATAATTCATGCATTGTTTATCAAATTGTAATTGACTGCTATAAATGCTCTACACATAATTTTTTATTTAGCATTTGTATACTTTTACCTTTGATTTTCCTTCAAGTGCTCCAGTTCCAGCATATATTTTACTCACTTGATCACCATTCTGAATCCACATCTGGCGAAATACCTCCACAAACCGATTAACTATTTGAGGTTTATCAATAAGGCCTAAGCTCTCAAGTTGCTTGGGAAGTATCTGAAATAGAAAAATGTTATGCCATACCATAAACAAAACTTCTTTTTACTTTAATACTAATATATATATATTAAAAGATTCATCAATGTAGGTTTATATCTTAAAAGGAAACATCTTTTAGCTTAAAATTTGTAATATTTTTGAACAACTATTTTTAATTCAGTATTTATTTCTGTCATGGACTACTTCTATTTAAAGAATGTATACAAAGAAATCTATCTACCTCTAGTGCAATAAATGTCTGTACTGCATTAGTCCTATCGAGACAATCCAAGCAGTTGGTACGGAAAGTTCCTGTTTGTCGTCTATCAAAAGAATAACATTTTACTTTTCTTCATCAATAAAACCAAAATTTAATATTAAGAATGTAATTTTTTAAATTATATGAAACCCACTCCATAAGTCAGCATTTTGAATATATTAATTATATAAAAAAAGTTTTTACACACCATAGAATTCTCGTTATAACCATCATGAATATCAAAAGTTACTCACTGATAAACTTCTCCACCAGCTACATGAAACAGACTAAATTTTTCAAAGTTTTCTTTAAAAGTCCTATTCTTCAATTGAACAAGGTTTTCTTGCCTTCCCCCACGACACACAGAATGATAGTCAAAATTAAACATTGGAATGTTTTTGTGGCGACAAGCTTTGAGATGTGTCTAAAATAAAGAAAATCACAATAATAAACGTTTCTTTCAAACACACAAAGTACAACATAAGTTAACAAGACGTCTCACAACTAGTAGTTTCATGTGATAAAATCTGTCTTAGCAGAGAGTCATTTCTATAACACATCACAAAATAACACTTCATCTCAATAATATTACCTACACTGTGAACATAAGTAAATTGTGAAGATATAAATATTTTGACATCATAAGCATTCCAATGAATTTCCACTCCTTACCACTTATTTTTGCATGAGTTTTTTTAACCAACCAGGTTTTTTTTTGTTTAAGTTATAATCTTACTTATGTTTTGAAAAAAAAAAAAACAACAAAATTCCAAACATGAATTCAGAGGTAGAAACTAAAAGTGATCTTGAAATATAAACTTTTAAACAATGACATTATAATACAACATTCTTTGTTCTTTATTGGATTATTTTGTCAAAAGTGAAAATACTTAATAATGAAACATAAAATTAGTTTAGTAAAACTTTTTATATTTAATTTATGAGATAAAAATCATCATTTCTAGATCTTAATTGTTTTAACAGAACAAATTAAATTCTGTATCAAGATACATTTGGACTAGATTAAACCTGAAAGTCTTTATTAAAATCAATATTTTCATACTGTTCACTAAAATCTTTATGTTTAACTAAATATAAAATATGAAATTAATCTTTAGGAAATAAAATCGTGTTATTATTACACAAATCAGAAAACAAATTAAGAATTTCTACCTGATACATTTGACTTAACATTGCCTCCCCTTCTTTGCTTCCCAGCAAATTGATTATCACCTGGTCCCCATATCGTTGTTTGATGACACTAAAGTGTCTGTTTAAAATAAAATAACTTCCTTACACAGAGCTATTGACTGAAACTTCTGATTTTAAATTGTAATACCATCTTAACAGTATCGGTTCATGAATTATAGTTTTTTTACACATTTTAATACCAAGCCAATGTATTCAATTCCAAGTTCTTGATACAATTATCTTTAGTTTTCTGTTTCAATGCAACTAGAACATTTCTGTTTTTGTAACTAATATTTCAATACTAAAATGTAATGCAAACAATAACCCAAAGTTCATCTTTCCCATACTGAAGTAGCATGTTAGTCTCGGTGTACTTTACCAAACTTCTTCACAACAAATGTAATAACAAAGAATTTTTCCCTTAACCCAAGGTGAAGTAGTGTTTTTAGGTGGCAGAGAAAGGAATAATAAATTCCAGTATTTGTTTCTTTAAGGTGTTGCATACACTTTTGTAAATTCTGGAATCTGCTGTATCCAAATACGCAATCAATATAATTTCTGTTCAGAGCTAGGAGCAATCAAAGATACACAGGATTTTAGAGTGGCTGCACCATCTTACCAACAGCAGTCATACACACTAATTGACTACTTTCTTTTTGGCTCAAATAAAATTATGAAACCTTTCTTCATTGTACTTTTGAGGCTGGATACCTTGTTCTTGACCTTCTGATCTGGCAAAAGGCTACTGCTACTAACACTGTTGTCCTTGTCAACATCAAACCTAATTTTGACGCTGCCACCACCACAACATCTTTGGACTTAATAGATGGATATGCCTCAACAAGGGCTGTCATAAAGTCTATTGTGATCGCATCCACAGTGCCTGCACAGGTTGCAAGTCGAACATCTTTGAATCATGTACATTCAGATAATAATGGCAACTGATGATGACATGCTGAAGAGTAGCAAGTTCCAGTCATGGTCAATAAGGCTTGAAGCTATCTGCTGAAGATCTACTGGGCTCTGGTCTAAAAAACAGATGCAATGACAAGCAAAGAAGGCTCACATAGCAGACCCATAGGTTATATGGCAAGACATAATACCAATAACTATGGAATTTCGGCTGATGGTGTGGTCAGTCATAACTTGGTCATTTTTTGTTTAATTTGGAAACTGAAAGGTGTAACTGTCATATCTGATCATATATTATGCTCTACATAAGTTTCATCAAAATCGAATAAATCCCAGATTTTTTTTATATCCAATCCCTGCCATTGAGGCACCTGTGACTGAGGGAGAAATCCTGTTTTAAAACTATAGCTTTGTAACTTTAAACTATAGCTTTATTATACATGTGCTAGTCCATATTTTAGTTTGAAAATAACTATGTTGATTGTGTTCCAAACCTTATAACTCAGCAGGACATTAACTTTACATGAATGTCGTACATAGAGTAAAACTTTATTTAAAAAAATCACAGTTGTTACTCCAACTTCTACTATACAACCTTTTCTTTTATCCTGATTATAAGTAATAATTATGTTAAATTCTCAAACATCAATGAGAATCAATTCTCTGTCTGTGGAAACACTGATTAATAATAAAAGAAAAGAAAAGAAAGAAAAACACTTCAAATATTTATGCCTAATATTTTACCACAACCATTTTGTAATAAACTCAAGTATAACTATTTTCACAACTGCCAATGATGTAAATTAATTGTCTGTCAAGTGTGCTTCTTTATAACTTAAACAAACACATTACTGAGTATTCTTGATATGAAATATGAGTTTGTGAACATTCTATGCTTATAAAAAAATGAGATATTTTTAACATTATTTCTTGTGTCAACCAGTCAATATTCCCAACACACAGATCTGAACAAAAAAAAAGGAACTTCAATAAGAGACAGTATTAAAACAGTGAAGTATCATCAAAGCAACATTTCAAGAGCTGTCTTCTGTGTGTGGTTAAACTTCCCAAAATGTAAATATAAAAGAAGTCAAATGAAAATAAGCTGAACATGAAAAAAAGTCTCCATTTGTCATACACATGACAATGTACAAGGGACAGTAGTATCTATTAGCTTTAATTCACAAATCACATATTAAACTGTGATTAATTAAGAAAACAAATTTTAAAAACATATCTGTATTGTAGGAAAAATAAAGACAGTCAAAAACATCAATTCATGCACGTTTTAGAGGACCTTGGAACAAAATCGACTGCATCTTCTTGAAGTGTAGGAGTGGACAAAGGACTCAGCACCAATACTGAACTAAAACTACATAAAAACTTCTAATTTAGAAGTTATACAAATTAAAGATGTGCCATATTACTGAAAAAGAGAAGTTCATTACCCTCTTTCACAGTCACCTATAAAGGCAAAATTTCTCACTGATATATCAAGAGAATCAAAGGCAAGAACATGCAAAATATGTGGCTTTCATTATCAACTTTCCAGGGACAAGTATACAAAAATAATTAAAATACCCATAATTTCCCTTTACTATACATTAAATGTCTGATGGCATTATGCATTCACATATTAAAAGTATCTGGTATATTTTTTACACCCCAAGATAGGGCCTAAAGTGGTATCAATGGAAAAATGATGACATGAAAGCAAAACACACTTCTTGTTTCATCTTTTAAGTACAAGGTATTTTTTTAATAAATTCAGATCAACCCAGAGATACAAATGACCATGTTAAGACACTGTTCAGTTCTAGTGAAAGAGTGCTTCCCATGAAAACTTCTGTGCTTTCTCCATGAAAAAGAGATGACTCAATGTTACAATGCTACTACAAGTACCACAAACAAGATAGGTTAAATCTTATAATCCTTAAACAGATCTAAGGTTAAAGATTACTTTGAAAAACCTTAAATAATTAAAGCTTTACAAAGCATAAAATCACAAAAATAGTCTACATATCTTACTATCAGTGCATTAATATGAAACAATTTTTCAATATATAAACAAAAATAATTTCATCCACAGCATCCAGTTAAGGTTAATTTTATACTGTTTTGCTGACCTGAGTTTTTATTGACCTCAGTTACACATTTAAAATATCTATTTATATTTGACAAATATTCTACAAAAAAGAATACAGGTATACCTGTCAAATGCAGGAGCTGAAGCTTCACTTCCTCTGGACATTTTTACACGATGAGAACCAACCTGTATATAAACGAACAACCATGTGCATAAAACAAAGCTCAACTCAAAAATTTTTTAACTTTGTTTACATTAAAAAAAATTTCATTTTCAGAGTGCCTATGCTGCAATTTGCAATACATGTTAATATAATTCTAGAAAATGTGTATTTTACTAAAATATATAACACTATGTTGATTTGTTAAATAACCAGAAGGACATTTCTAGCATACTATTTTAAGCTATGTTCTAAACAGTATTTAAACTTTTTAGCAATGTTTTTTATTTCAGGTTCTGTTGAAATTAGTACATATATATTTGTAGAAAGTATGTTTTTGGCCCCGATAAGCCACATTTAATTTATTACTTGAAGAGTATTTTTCTTGATGATATTTTGTGACTTACTTTTAAGTAGTTTTATACCAAAAGTAATGCTTAAGCCTAAGCAATGTAATATTAAAACAAATGAAGCACTACATTAATTGATGAGATGTTTTTTCAGGAGTTTTATTATTTAGCAAAACAAATTTTAAATGTTTTACTAGCAAATCCAAGACACCTCATCACACTGTCAGAACAATTTTTAAACAGTTATTAGTTTAAATTGGTTAAAACTTTAGAACTAGAACATTTTTTAATCAAATTAGTGGAACGATCCTGGAATATTATGTTTTGTTAAAAAAACTTATTATATTACTTATGAAAAAAATTTTCTGACTTTGCCTACGTTTTAAACACAACATAAGCATCATGTTGGATAAACAATGTGTCACTGAAAACTTTTGACTACAAATAAAGTTTTTCAAAGTAAAACATATCTTCCAAGATAATTCTATTTACATCTTTAAAAATTTTTTTAGTTATTAAGCCATCTTTGAACATGTGAACATTTAATTTTATGATTCACATCATACATGGGTATATGGTATTTTCAATCAAAATTTAAAATGGAAACAGAAAGTTGTAGATAAATTAATGTTTCATCTAAAATATTTCAAACACATTGGATACTTATGTTTCTACAATATCACCTGCTAGCAGAATATTATAATGTGCTCTAAGTGCTCAGTTAGTGTTTTTTTCATTGTTAATTTTTACCACACACACACAACACACAATCCAAGATAATGTTGCCTCCTACCCTTTTCATTAATATTTGCTTTTTCAATGTGTCATTCTTATTGGGAATTGCATCTAGTATGTTCTTATTTTCATTTATCATGAGAATTATGATGAATATATTAACAAATAACATTTCATTTACTCTCTACAACTTATGGTATCAAATAACCGCTATCTTAAAAATAAATTCAATTCTAATGATATTGTCATATTGATGGCTCACAATTAAAGAATATATAGAAATACAAAAATTATGAAAATGTAAAGCTCCAACTAGATTAGAAAACTCATCTCAAAATAATCCCAACTCCAACTAGGTCTATTTTCATTCTCAACCTGACTTCAAAGCATAAACTTTATATGAAAATAAAGATAATCTTAACTCATTGTTATGCCTAAACAGAAACTCACTAGGCCTATTTTCAATTTCAGTCTACTTTCAAAGCATAAACTTCATACTTATACAAGAATAAAAACTATCTCAAGTCACTGCTAAGCCTAAACAGAAACTCAAATCATAATTGTAAAAGGACTCTCAAACTTTCTCAAAGATTATACTCTTGTTCAATCACAACTAAGTTTTAATTCTGGCTCTTATTTTCTCACTCACTTTCTGTTACTGACTCACTTGTACAGCTTAATGCTAAAGATTACTTGAAAATTCAAACATTTTTGGAACAAAACATCCTAGATGTAGCACTTGTAAACAACATGCACATCAATCACACTATAAATTAAGTAATGGTGCTTATCAGGCAAACTTTTAATACATATTTATAATGTGTAATGAATATATATTTACATTACAACAAAAGAACATATTTTAGCTAATTATAGTACTAGTGATATTTTTTCAGAATACTTTCTTTAGTTGTGGTAATTGGTCTGTTGCAGATCTTCCATTTTTGAGAAGAATATTCACACATTTTACTTTTTATAGTACTTGTTCTTACATTAACATTAACCTCATATAGTGTCATACTGTGGCAGTGTATATATGATGATGATATCAATATAGTAAATACAAAAGGGTAACATTCCTCACTTATTAGTTTTTATAATTTACTTTGCACCTCCTAAATTTTCAAATCACATTGATAATATAGCAATCAACTGAAAACTGTATCTGACCTGTACTCCTGGCTGTTCCCAAAACAAAGGTACTGACCCACGTGCCTGAACATATGATGATACTTGGTCATCCATGTAGATAACCTGTAGAAAAAAACAAGATTTTCATATAAGTATTAAAATCAGATACCTTGTGTTCTAATAACTAAACAACTTAAAAACAAAAACAATGAAGTACAACATATTGTTATTCATTTTCAACACTTAGCTTCAGAACAATTGTGACATATCATAAGGCAACTGCACTTTCACTTTTAAAAGAAACAAAAATGGCAGATTTTCCAATAGTTTACCACTAAGAAGGGTTTCACTAATTCAATACAGAGAAATAAATCTTTTATCACACATATCTTCATATTTACTTCAAGGTAAAAATATGCAAGCTGATGATATATTTGAAACCCCCAACTGTTTAACAATCAATGCAATTTGCAAATATATGAACATTAACGTACACTGACTGGTAACTTTCTTGAGACTCACACTTAATATCCAGCTAGATCATTTTTTTACTGCGATAACAGCCTCAAATTATGGAGAGACTACAAGATTGTAGAAGGTTATATTTTATTGTATTCCATCCATTGAGGACTACACTAATGGAAATAAATGCAATGTTCATTGAAGATGCTCAACTGGACTAAATTTGGTGATTGTACTGGTCTCAGGGGGATGACAGAGACCATTATTATTCTTTTCTACCAATATCTGATGCTACAAGTGCAAACAGTTGTTGTATGAACCCTATTTGCACAGGTAGAGGTCTAAGTGTGCATGCCACAACCTTTTACAGAGTGTCATTCAACAAGGTATTATGCATATAATGTCAGAGTTATCAACTATTCATTTTACCCTACATTGACGAGTTAGTAACAGTTAGTGGTAGATGAGAGTAAATACCTGATACTATACACATAAATATTTAAAATAAATTTGGAAATGCATTTCAGAGGCTCAAGAGAGTATGCAAATGCAATATGCAAACTATACACTGGACAAAAGTATGTTTGTTCTTCATATGAACATCACCTTGTGCTCCAACTTGTCAGAGTTAGACATACATTGTCAATTCACAAACATTTCTTGAGTACAAATACTTTTG